TATTTGCAGGCCCTGCCGTCTGTTGTTTGTAATTTTAAAAGTCCTCTGATTTTTGCCTTATGGCTTTATTGTATTAATTGTGAAATGCCACATGTTTTTAAAATGAGTGTGTTTGAGCCTTTTTTACTGCCCACTCCTTTTGCTCTGGATATTTCTCTCTGCCCTTCCTATGATATGTTTAGTAGATAGTTGCCACGTTGTCCCCTGCTTTCTGTCAGGATAGGGCAAATATCTACCTCTTTCAAAGGGCTTCATAACTTTCATTTCCTATATTGATTGGTATTCAAGTTCTAAAATAGCGTGACTTGTACACACCACCTCACCAGTTTTGTTGATGACCGTCAGCCTAAGGGACAAACCTTCAGATGCTGCATTTAGGTTTGATAAGTACCTGGAAGTCCTAAAGTCTATTTAAGCCACTTCCTTCTGTAAAACTATAGTGAAAGTCCTATGAGAGAACACCAGTGCTTCTGTATATAGTGCTGGTTGCACCGATTAAACAGGATAGCATATGGGCCGCATCTCCCCAAGATGCTGACTGCACAATAGTCTGAGACTAGGGGATAGGCAGGAAGAGATGGAGATTGTTAGTTCAATTAGTTCAAAGTTCAAAAAGTTTCCATTTTAATTTTGAGTGGGCCTATTTGGTTGTTTTTCTTACTTTGTCCCCTATGCGTGATGGCCAGGGATCCTGGTTTTCTTTGATTAAAATTTCCTCAATTTTCAGATTTAAAAAAGTAAGCCAAAATCTCCATTTTTCCGTGATTAAAGTGAAACACCACTATATATATATCTATATATTAGTGGCCTTTAATTTTAATCATGGAAAAATGTGGATTTTGGGTTACTTTTTTAAATCCAAAAATTGGGATTTTTTTTTTTTTTTAATCAGAGAAAACTAGGGTCCCTGGTGATGGCAGACCTAATGTTTAGAACCAACTATGTTATTTTTGCACAGAAGAAAGGAAATGCCCTTCATATTTTAGCATTCTTTATCACTTTATTTCATTGTGTTCAGAAATGTTCTTTTCTTGTCCACTCCACTTATGGCTCTGAAACTCCCTTTTATATGCTATCAGTTATTCTACAATTACTATATTTGCCACCATAGACGCATAAGCCACAATTTCTGCTTTTCTGATTTTGTTCATAGGTCCAACTCATTTTCTACATTTAATCTAAATGTTGGAGAGTTGCATCAGGTGTTGCAGTTCAGTGCTGACCTACTCAACCTTAGTTGAGTTGCTACTAGAATATCCCAGACAGTCCAACTCGGACTTCAAGTTCAATGCATAGAATGCAAAAAAAGCCTCTTTTTATGGAGTCAGGAAATGTTAGTAACATATCTTCCTCTCAGGATTTTTGTTTCCAACATACTGTAAAGTCCAGTTAAAATACGTTGTCCCTGATACCTATCACAGCAATTGAGGACTTTGGGATAAAGCTATGTAACAATTAGCTAGAAAAAGGGTGCGTTTCAACTAGAACTATGGACAGTGCCTGGTTGACAGGTAATGTGATCTGTTAATGAGGGAATTACAGCTCTTCATTAGAGTCAATGCTGTCCTAGAAAGAGGTGTAAATACACTCAAGCATAGGTGTGAATTCTACAGTCCTTAATTTATTAGAATTATCTTTGGTTTAATTTAGTAGTTACCTTTGGTTTGGCTCATAGTCCAAAATTTTGACTCACCATATTTACTCGAATCGAAGACAAGGTTTTTCCCTAC